AGAAGCGCAGACAATTCAGTGAGTCATTTTGCTTTATTCTCCATTGCTTTATTCTACATCTAATGACGCTAAATACTCTTCAATTTGAGTAGGAGTGGCGTCCCTAGGAGCCTGCCTAATTAAACTTCCACATAAAAGACCTAAAGTAGAGCCCTTGAATTTTGTCATAATATTCCCTAGCAGGTGCTACATACAGTAGTCATGTTCAGCATGTTGAAACACCTCTTTTGTTGCATTTATAATACCCTCACGATGATATGAAACCATAATATATAAGTCATGTCTATACGCAAGTCATGTCAAACCTGAAAAGTAATAGGACGGTAAAAAGACATTAAATGTTAATACAGTAATCCTAAAAATGCAGAGAGAGCTACAAAAACAACGCGCAGAACACGTCATCCCCAAATTGAGATTAACTATGAGGTTCAGATATTATTCCCGCAGAAGAGTTTTGAAGTCCACTGAGCATAATTAACAAATTGTACAAGTGTATCTTGGTTACAAATTGGGGATATATAATGTCATAGAGTGTGAAGAATACATCAACCACAAACTTCATAGAAAACTAAAATGAGAAGATATCGAACTCGAAAGCTTACCTCACCAAATCGCATAAGGATCGGAACAATCCACAATTTGCGATGAAGATTCCGAGTCGGAATTTTGAACCGATTTCACCTTCAATAGATGAAGATTAGTCGACGAAATTGTTGCAGGTTGAGTTCAAATTATTGAAGCGAAGTGGAGAGCTAAAATCGAAGAAGATCGAGCGTACATGTGTATATGTTGGTTAAGGTGTTAGTACAAAACACCGTAGAAATTCTCAAACATTTTAATAAGTAGTTAGGGGTAATTTAGGTAACTTAGAATTGAGTTTTCTAAAATAGGAGAAATAGAGATCTATGGAAGTAAAAGTGTTAAGGAGGTCTTATTTTAGTCAAAATCCTATGAAATAGTCTCATTTTGCGCAATTTTTTCATTTTTATTAAAGATTCAATTATGGGTTCTTGAAGAAAAATATACTCAAAATCGTTAATAAACCGTTATATATTACGTATATAATATTAAAGTTTTATATACTCCCTTCGTATTTTAAAGTTCCATGCACTTTCCATTTTGGGATATATTTAAAAGTTCCATACACAGATACACTTTTCCGTTTTGGTAAGTTTTTCCTTTACAAAATGCTCACTTACCCCTACTTTTTCTACTTTTTATCATCTCTTTCCTACCCTTTCACCTTCTCTCTACTTTTCTATACTATTCATTACCCCTACTATTTTCTCTTAAATCTTGTGCCATAAACTAGCATATGGATCTTTAAAATATGGAGGGAGTTTTACTTAATGGTACATATTTTAACGCATATTTACTTATTTATTTTTATATTAAAATCATTGATTGGAATTGGTCCATTGCATGCTTTGCTCTTCACATAACTTATGTCTCTACTATTTTACATTGTAGTAAATATCTTGTTTTATTTTATTTCACTAAAATTTTCAATCTGTTATGTACTCATGTTTTAAATTCAACTTTTTAGATTTAAATTATGATAAACATATTTGTATTTTTATAATTTCAAACGTTGAATGTCTAAGAATTGTAAAATGACAAGAACTCAACTTTTACGAAATAGTTCGGTTCCATTGCGGTTCTATGAATAATTTGTAAGAAACAAAAGGTTATTAAGATTTGATACTTTTCAAATGGTTCCATTTATTTTGCCTAGGAATCTAACCGGTCTCAGGCCTAAAATAATTTATTTGACGGTCAATAGGTATATATTTTTAAATTGAAGATTGAGTACATGAGAGAAGGTTGTGTTTAAAAAGCATAAATGTTATTTTGAACAAATGCTCTATTCTATAATTATAAAATTAAAAATGAACATTATTTGGTTTTTATTTCTTTATGATGAAAATTAGAAATGTTGTCCTGTGAATGATTATTCATGGTCCAAAAGCAAATGTGGTGTAACAAAAATATTTATGATGATAACAATTAACATTATTTTATATATTTATATTATTAGTGATAAATGATAACAATGATGACTATTAACAACGATATAAAGGACAAACGAATTTATCACAAAGTAGGGAGTTAATAGCATACTCAACATCTTCCATATTTGTTTGTACCATGACATTTATCATTTTAGTTCATTGATTTCATATATTATTAAAAGTATTTGTCTCATACCAGAAAGTTATAAGACAATAAAAACATTATATAAAACTTTTGGCTACTCTCCCTATCAGGTTGGTCTTTTAGGATGGAATCCCGGTCCTTAACATGGTATTAAAACTGAGTCCAGTTGTGGTTTGACTACTTATATTTATTATTTAGCACCCATGAAATATGGTAGCTTGATAAGCTAAGGATCTGTTTGGCCCATTTATACACCCAAATATTGTTCAGCGTGTCCGATTCAGGCTGAGGAGGCGTGTTAAAAGTATTTGTCCTACCGGAAAGTTATAAAACAATAAAACAATATATAAGGCTTTGGATTACTCTTCCTACCATGTCGACATTCTAGGATGAAACTTGAGGTCTTAACATATACACTACTATGAATATAAAGATAAATTAAAATTGTAATGCTAAAAGATAGATTTTTTTCAAAAATATTAACAAAATAAAATTTATGTACACAAATATGAATAATAGTTACAACAATGTAGTGTCACAGTAACTTAAGATTAAAAAACGAACATAAGTATATATTAATAGAGTATATGGGCTCGCACCTATATCCCATATAGTCTTGGACACACAGGCTGCCCAATAGTTGTGCCGTAGACATAAGGATCATTTGAAGAAGCCCAGTCCATAAACAGAGGAAGACTTCTGGATGATACCCTTCGGAGGAAGAGCACCTCGGCACAACCCTCAGGAAGGCCGAGGTGTCGTGCACCTCGGTACCTTCCCTTCACACGGCTCCAAGAATTCCCTTAATAGATCGCTTATGCATGTAAACGGCCCGTTAGTGGCCCATTAATGTAGTTCAGTAGTTGGGCCTCACAGGCCCAAGTCCTATGAGCCCAATCCATATTCCTTCTATAAATACCCTCCTCGGGGTAGTTGTAGAGGGTTCTGAAATCATTTATTGCAATTTTCTCTCTCTCTCTCTCTATACTTTAGCTCTCCCTTCTCTCTAAGCACTTCGGAGTAACCCAGAAGCTATCATATATGATTCCATCACTACTACAATTACTAGCTAGTTACATTTTTGTAAACAATTTTTACTTTAATCATAAATATGTAATTATCTCTCTAAAATTTATTTGGAAAATAAAGAATCGCTATTAACCACTCTGTCAATTATTATTATTATTGTTATTGTTATTGTTATTATGATCAAGAGTGAAGTATTAATTTAATTTATTCAGATATATAAGTATGTGTGCTTCGCAATAATTTGTACTTAAAAAATACATTCTTAGCGATTACCTTTCCATTTAGATAAAAAAAGTGAAGCACAAAATTGAATTTAAAAATAAACACATCATCTTCATTTTTATGAATGCATTCTTAACAATTACATTCTCATGCTTACAGAATGTTTCAAGTTTGATGAGGTGGGAGGGTGATTCCTATTTAGATACATTTATTGATGACAAATTAACAAAATTCTCAAAACAAAGGTAGTATTGAAACTACTCATCTTATGCGGTTCACGAATATAATGTAATAGCAAAAGTAGATAAAGTTGCTCTTTCTTTACTAGATGTCCCAGTTCCTTTTCATGTTCCTTTCTAATTGTATTGTCAATATGTTAGAAAACGATATATCAAATTAATTATATGTTAGTTTCCTGGTCTTGTCTAAACTGGTCTGGTAAATCTTTGTGTATTTTATAACAATGCATGAAAAGTTTAGTGTGGTATATTTAAGTCTGGTCTAATTTTGTCTAGTCTGTAAAAGTCCGATTTGATTTGGTACCCAAAAACAAATAAGTAAAAACATTCTAATTTTTCTTGCGTCCTGTTCAAGTGAAGTATTTAACCAATGCAGAAGTGTAGAACCACTTAACACCGGTTTCTATGGGTGAAGGTACATATATACTCATGTACTACGGGTGGGAGAACAAATATACATCTGTTCTATTTTCAGAACAAATATATCCCTTAAGTACATGTTGAAGTGCATATATATACCCTTGAACTTGTAAAAAGTGCAAAAATAGCCCTCATGTTCTTATTAAGACGCAAATTTACCCTTATTGACTTTAAATACATAAAATAAATTTCAAAAAACACCAAAAATGAAATATAGAATTTAAAGATTTATTATTATGTTAAAATATTAACTCTTTAATTTCAAATTTCAAAATTTATTTTTCCGTTGTAAACGAATCACTTCAAATTCATAAATATTAATTGTAGTCTTGTTATGAAATTTTGAACACATTGTTATATTTTTTGAAATAACATTTTTTAATTTTGTTTAACCTTAATAAAATTAAATTCACTATTTTGTAATCTTGAACTATTTATCATCATACAAAATATGTAATTTTATAATGCAAAGAATGCAAAAAATTAATCTTTTTTTTATATTGGAACACATATTTTAACACTTTTTTTCGAAAGAATCTTAAATACATAGTATATATATAGTAGTGTTTTGAAATAACATTCTCTATACTAACAATATTTAAATGTGATATACAAACAATAAAAGGGAGAATTGGACACAAGTACATTTTAAAGTTTTTTATTTTTTTATTTTTTGATTTTGAATTTATAATTTATGTTTGATGTTTTTTGAAATTTATTTTATCCTTTAAGTTAATAAGTGTATATTTACTCGTTTATAAGAATATGAGGGTACATTTGTACATTTAAAAAAGTTTAAGGCTATATATGCACTTTCACATATACTTTAGAGATATATTTATTCTAAAAAGTAAAACATAAATATATTTATTCTAAAAAGTAAAACATAAATATATTTGTGCATTTTGCCTTTTTATTTCATCATCCCAAAGACCCAAACGCCCAAACCAGGCCTGGGAATTTCCCAGTTGCTTAACTTGCGTCCTACTTTGGCCCCGCCTTCTCCGCATGTCCCGCCCATAATAAAATTCGCGTTTTATTATGGCGATCTTATTGTGTAGGCAGCATCAAGATTTTTTATGACCCCCTTCGTGTGTTATGCGCTTTCTATACAGCAGAACTTGGATTAGCCGCGTAAATTTACGCCTTTCCGTTCTTGGAATCTTGGGAATCAGGTCAGTTAATAGCAGGCGATAAAGCTTTCGCATTTTATGATTACCCAAATGGTTCACTTGATTATGGTGATCTTATTGTGCAGGCAGCATCACATTTTGACGCTAAGTTTTGGTTTTATGTGTAGTGATGGGCCGAAAGAAGCAGTTTCCTCCGCGTCGTTCTGTAGGAGTTCACCGAAAGCTAGCTCCTTTGTCGGAATTACGTGATAGTACTCATAATAGTGATGATAGAGGCGAAAAAGACGACCTTGCTGATCTTGATGAACCATATTTTGTTGAGATTGATCGGTCTACATGGTCCTCCGATGAACATATGGATATATCTGAAATTGTCTTAACAGATTTGAGGATAAATCAAGACTTTTATAGTTATAACTTAAGCGAAGAGCTTTACGAAAAAGATTCACGGTATTTTTTGAGGTTTAGATTGAATGGAGCAAACCAACATCTTAGCAGAATTAAATTAGGGCATTGGCCTATTTTACCCGCCCCTAGTATCGCTGTTGAATTGGTGGCAAAACATATGAAAGAGGGCAGCGAAGAACATCTAGTGATGGTTTCTGGAAATCTTGATGGGCCCGATGAAGGGGTTTCTGGGCTTGCACATTTAGCTAGTTTGAAGTTCTTGACATTGAGGCCAATGATAATTAAAACAACCTTTTCGGGAGGGTTATCATCTGTGAGGATTAGGGTGGAGATATTAAGAGCTGTATTTGATTCGTGTGAGTCGCTTCTTGATAATTCGAGACAACTCTGGAAGAAGAGTATGATTAGTCTCATGGCTTGGCTACGCCCAGAAGTTACGACTTCAGAATGTAGATATGGACATAGCTTCACAGGGGACATAAACGGGAAATCATCTTCTTCAAGGAAACATGCCAGACTTGATGTTGCTGGTTTCTATGAAGCCATTAAGCCATCAAAGTAAGTGACTAAGTGTTGATCCCACGGGTTCCTCCGGGGGGTATATAGTAAGTTTATTAATATTTGATCCATGATTATGTAGGGATGAACCTATGTTGGATGATTATCTGCCTAATTTGGTTTCTGAGCTTAGACCATATCAGCGGCGTGCAGTTTATTGGATGGTAAAGCGGGAAAAAGGAACTCATGAGGCTAGCAAAATAAATTGGTCCCCTCTTTGCATGCCATTGAGTTTAATAGAAAAATCTGCTGTGTTATATTACAATCCATTCAGGTATGGTGTATGACAATGGTTGTTGGTTTGTCATGAAAGTTAAAATTCTCAATGCATTCTGATACAGATCACTTGGCATGTTAGCTAGGTACAACTGTTGTAAATTATAATCATGCATATATTTTAAAATTAATTTATTGGATTATCTAAATTTATCACATGTTAGTTGACTGTGACTTTTTTTGGCAACTGTTTTGACAAAATAGCTGAAAAATTAGCCTGATTCAAGATGGATGAGGAACCTTATTTCATGTCTAAGCATCCATCTATTTTAGTTTTTTGCTAATAATTTAACATATATATTCGGTGTTTGTAAAATGTTTCTATTGCCTCTTTTCATCAACTCATTGCTTTATAAGCTTATCCAGCAAGGAAGGAGACGATACATGTCTCTAACAATGTATTCATTTTTTTTGTCATTTCATTCTCAGTGGAAATGTATCCCTTCATCCAGACTGCTCATTCCCATATATTTCTGGTGGGATTCTAGCTGGTAAGTCAAATTGTCGAGTCTCATTTAGTTCAAACTGATTCTGTATACATGTGAGAAACACAACACTTTTATTATCATGGATTTGGTTGTAATTGGAAGCAAAAGATCACAAGTTTTGCTAAAGGTCACAAAGGACAATTGCTTGCCCACAGGGAACTTAAACACTCAAATTGAAGTGTATAGAAAAAAAATCAACAATCCCATCTCATGAGAATGAGATCGCAGTCATGCATAGAGTTCGACAATATTGGCGGAGCTATGATTTTTTAGGGAGCTTATCACGTGTTGTAATTCGGGTAGGCTATTAGCTAAGATTTTTTTTCTTCTTTTTTTTGTTCTTCTTTTTTTCCCTTTCTTTTTGTCTTGTTCTCTAGTTTTTTTTCCTTTTCATCTTTCTCTCTTGTACTTTGTTTAACATCTTCTTTAATAAAACTTTCTTTTCTTCAAAAAAAAAAAATACCAACAGACCCATCTTCATTAGTGGTTAAAATCTTAATGAAATTAATTCCACATTTACTTTCTTCTGCTGTTATGTTTCATAACTTCATTATGAGTTGCAGATGAGATGGGATTGGGGAAAACTGTTGAGCTGCTTGCATGTGTTTCCGCTCACCAGGCGACGTCAACAGGAACTGCCAGTTTGCTTAATTCAACACAGATTCACAGAGACGTGAGAAAAGACCTTAAAAGATTGAAGCATGAGAGGGTTGAGTGTATATGTGGTTCTGTTAGTGAAAGCATCAGGTATGAGGGGTTGTGGGTACAGTGTGATGCTTGTGATGCTTGGCAACATGCAGACTGTGTTGGGTATTCACCACAAAATCACAGAAAACCTAAAAAAGATTCTAAGCAAGAAATGGATAGAAATGATGATTCATCTGGAGAATTGCATAAACGTGCAAAAAGGAAACGCAATGAACAAATAGTTGAGACAGATGAGGTTTATTTCTGCAAAGTGTGCACAGATCTAATCCAAGCCACTGAAGCTCCTGTTGCATCTGGTGCAACTCTTATAGTGTGCCCTACTCCTATTTTACCCCAGTGGCATGCTGAAATAATTCGGTAGTCTTGCCCTCCCACTGTTTTTTACATTGCCATGTAGCTGAAGTGTAATCTATTTTTTTTCTTCACTAGGGTATCATCTCAATATATAAATGACTTTCTTTAAGATTTCATGCAATTTGAAAAGATGATAATCTGTCGACAGACGAAGGGATAATAGTATTTCTCTTACATTTCATACATATGTCTGTCCTTGACTCCTTTCTCTCTAGTTTTTCTGGCTTAGTGCCTTAGTACTGCTATTGTACACTTTTCTGATTTATTTAGGTGACCATAAACATAAATGTTATATTTATAAGCATATAAGAGCATGTATGGGTTGGGCAAATACTTACCCGGAGGAGAGCAGAAACCTAAAAAAAAGAAATTCATGCAGGAACAAGAAAATGCCATCGTAATTTGAATTCAAACTCACTCTACTTGCACATCTAAATCTGGGTCAATACCAGCAAAAACATCTGTCTATCTGTTGATCTCGTAACCTTCATAAAAAGTGTTTTTGAGAGATTTGGATTTTTTTTTGGAACACTTCAACTCAACACAGATGTAATTTTAGTCCTATAGAAGACTTTGTTTTTGAAAAAAGTAATTTCAAAAGCGGTCTAAAGCTATGTTTGTCTTATGTGCATGTCCTTATTAACGTATTGTTCTTTTCATGTATGCACTATGCAGACATGCAAAAGCTGGTTCATTGAGAACATTCATATATGATGGCATTAAAACCACTACCTTCTCGGAGTCACCTTTGGTAGACATAAATGAGCTTCTCAATTCAGATATTGTCTTGACAACATATGATGTGCTCAAGGAGGACTTGTCACATGATTCTGACAGATATGATGGCGATCGTCGCTTCTTGAGATTTGCAAAAAGGCATCCTTCAACCCTCGTATCTAGTAATTATCTTTGTTTCCTTGGCCTGTTTCTTGTACCACGACTTGTGAAGAGGAACGTTTTATGAATCAAATCCTTACAGATTTTCTAATTCCCATAATCCCATGTCAGAGCAAAATCGTCTTATGCTATATTTAGATCCAGAAAATGGCAGGAAAAGGAAAAATGTGAAGGAATATAAAATTTTGTGTGTGGTTTTACCCTGAGAGGATATGAAGGAAAGTTACATTCTAGATATATGTTCAAACTCAAGTTATGATATATATTACATAAAGATATAAATGCATATACAATTTTCACGTAGGGTGCGGTCCAAATAAAAAGAGTGCTTCCCCTACAAAATGTGCATAGGTGCATGTTTTAATATGTGTGTATAAATAACTTGAGTTTGAGGAAGTATCTAGAATTGATTTGTTGAGCCATCTCTTCTCTCTCAAAATTTCCTTCCCGCTGACATGCCCCCTACGTTCCTACGAATATATTAATGAACATCTTAAGAATGAAATTATGTGTCTGGTGCAGATTCCCAGTTATTCCCACTCCTCTCACCAGGATACTATGGTGGAGGATATGTTTGGATGAAGCTCAAATGGTCGAGAGTAATGCTTCTGCTGCAACTGAAATGGCATTAAGGCTACACACAGTTCATCGGTGGTGCATAACTGGTACCCCCATACAAAAGAGACTTGGCGATTTGTATGGGCTTTTGAGATTCCTGAAAGCAAGCCCGTTTGATATTTTAAGGTGGTGGGCTGATGTAATTTGTGATCCATATGAGGTTTGTTGTAATTAATAATGTATTTTACTAATCATATAGTTGATATGTGTGGCATTGCAGTTTGAATCATATGCTATATTATTGATCAATCTGTTCTTGTCTAATTGGGAGATTTGCTGAGTTATGATATGAAAGTTTCTTTTGTAGGCTATGCTTGGAATCCAGATAGTTGTTGGGAATGGGGGGGGGGATAAAAAATTAGTTTTAAATGTTAGTTTTACTTTGTAAGATTCAAAATTTTTAAGGCAAATTTGATAATTTTTTACGTATCTTTATATTTCTCTGTTCTTATGTAATAGAAATATATATTAAGATGTGTTTGAGTAAATACATATAATTGATTAATAGAGTTCAAATCGTATTGCATTGTTTTTTCTCAAATCTTATTTGCTTCCAAAATTTTCTCATATTCCTCTCCATATTCCCCTCAGCATATTACGAGTTCTGAATGGACCTTCAAGCTCTAATTTAATGGTTTCATCATATTTTGCTTGTCCAATTTAATTATAACTTGTATCTTGCAAAGTTTGTAGTTCATAGTTTCTTCCCGTTCTACAGAGGGGTGATGAAGGAGCCATTGAATTTACTCACAATTTTTTTAAGCATATAATGTGGAGATCATCAAAAGAGCATGTTGCTGAAGAGTTACAACTTCCTCCTCAAGAAGAATGCATCTCTTGGCTTTCTCTTTCACCAATTGAAAAACACTTCTACCAGAGGCAACATGAAACTTGTGTGAATGATGCTCGTGTACTTATTGAAGATTTTAAGAATAATATGAAGAAGAAACTACAAGGTTAGTTGATAATGTATAGGGCTGAATATATTATCTTATTCCTGCCTGCTAACCTAGTTTTTTAGGTCCTACATCCTTGTAATCTTCGTACTGATTTACTCTTGTTTTGTCTTTAGTCTGTAACGATCCCGCACCGGTCAAGAATGGGCTTGACCGGTGGCTTATAAGCAAAGTGTTCCCTCCTAATCAGCTGGTCTTTTAGGAGTGAGTTCTACACTTAGGCTTAGGACCTTGATATGGGCCTAGTATGGCTAGGTCCGTAACAATTGGTATTAGAGACACCCCATCTTTGTGGTCCCGACGCTCGGAGTGGTGGCCTATGGAGTGGTGGCTTGGGCCCTGGGGGTGCCAACCGTGACCAACATAGCCGTGACCAATGGATGTTGGCTCTTCGAAGCATGGGGTATTGTAACGATCCCACAACGTTCAAGTATGGGCTTGACCGGTGGCTTATAAGCAAAATGTTCCCTCCTAATCGGCTGATCTTTTGGAAGTGAGTTCTACATCTGGGATTCTGGGCTTATGGCCTTGATATGGGCCTAATATGGGCTGGGTCCGTAACATAGTCCCTCTACATCAACTTCTGGAAAAAAGCTGATGTGGCCCCCATAGATACTTAACATTTTATTTTCAGAGGTATAAATCGAAAGTAAGAATGGTGAATTTATTTTAGGCATTATTTTCTTGATAGACTCAGTTGAGTTACAAAGATTTGCAATATTTGGAAATCAAACATCATGCATTTTGAAAAATGACATGAAAAGGGTTCACTGGAGCTGTGTGAGCCATGTGACAGAGTGGGACTAAAAATAAGATGAGTAACTAGGGTGGATAGTGATTCTTTTACCGAGATCTTTTAAACTGTTAAAAAAAGAGACACTATTTACAGGGAAGAAAAACATATTGAAAACTACTATGTAATTATTGTTTTTTATGCTAAGGGTTATAAACTTATAAAAATAATTTTTTTGATGGTTTAAAATCTTTCTCAGGTACTGAGCCGCCTGCAGATACTTTATGTGGTGTTGCTATCACAAATATGGAGGCTGCAAAGCTATTCAACTCACTTTTGAAACTCCGACAAGCGTGTTGTCATCCACAGGTTGGGAGTTCAGGGCTGCGCTCTCTACAGCAGTCTCCAATGACCATGGAAGAGATCCTGTCGGTATGTCCGTTTTACTATGATTGGAATACAGAAAAGGGTATGGAAAAAATTGCTAGATAAATGAACTTTTTTAATGTTTGCTTTACAATGGAAACATAAACGATTATCAAATTTGTTCATTTTTTTAATTTCTTACATATATTTCTTATGATTAATGTAATATATATGAGTAAAATTCGTTCAAACAACAACAACATCCAAGCCTTAGTCCCAAAAGATTTTGGGGTCGGCTAACACGAATCGATACATGATATCGCAACCAAAGGAAAAGAAAGATAAGCTACGATAAAAAAAGATAATATAAATAGAGATGGATATGCATAAAAATGATAGAATAAAAAGGATAAAAAGAACATTTTTATATAAATAAAGATAAAAGAATAAAAAACAAGAAAGAAAGAGAAGACGAGGGGAAAAGATGATAAGAGATCACTCCTCCACGTGAATACCTGCTATCCACTTTGCTTCCTCCAAATCTATACCCTCATCCAACCCAAGAAGCATATTACTCTGACTCCTCTAATCCACGTTTGTTTGGGTCTTCCTCACCCTCTCTTCCCTGCCTCTTCTCCACACATCTCAACTCGTCTGATAGGTGCATCACTCGGTCTTCAACACACAGGACCAAACCACCGCAAACGAGACTCCCACATCTTATCTTCAATAGGTGCTACTCTCACCTTTTGTCTAATTGTCTCATTCCTCACGCGGTCCTTTCTAGCATGTCCACACATCTAATGCAGCATGCGCATCTCTGCCACACTACGCCATACAATAATGCATGCCTAATTGTTGTCCTATAAAATATACCCTTCCGTCTAATCGGCATACCTCGATCACATAGAAATCCTGACACACTCTTTAATTCCATCCACCCTATTCTGATTCTATGTGATACATCTCCATCTAATTCATTCAAACAAATATCTAAAATTCATTTGTTGCATTGGAAGTTTGGAACCAATTTTTTACGTTCCGCCTTTTTTCCTCTTCATCGCTATTTTCTTTTCCTAGCATTTTTTGGGGCCTAAACGGACTAGTGAGGTCACATAGCTAAGGTTTTACCGAAAAGATAAACCCAGATCTTTATATATGTTTAAAAATCATGGCTTTTGTGTAGGTTCTTGTAAGTAAGACAAAGGTCGAAGGAGAAGAAGAGCTTCGGAAACTAGTTGTTTCCTTAAATGGCCTTGCTGGTATAGCTATCATTGAGAAGGATATTCCTCAAGCTATATCATTGTACAAAGAAGCATTGGCTGTAACTGAAGACCACTCTGAAGATTTCCACTTGGACCCTCTGTTAAACATTCATATTAATCATAATCTTGCTGAGGTACTACCCCAAATTGCTGATGAGTTCATGACTGAAGGGGTTGAAGATCACTTCCGGAATTCATTGCAGAGTGAGACAAAAAAAAGAGAAGTTTCAAATCTGACAATTAAGGATTCATCCAATTCATACATAGAAACTGAGAGGCAACATCTAAAAGCATCTTGTGAAATTTATAAGCAAAAATATTTGTCTGTGTTCAGTTCAAAGTTATGCATTGCTCAACAAGAATTCAGGAAGTCATACGAACAGGTATTTCATATTAATATTTGCAGTTATGCTTTACAACAATACCCTTTTATTATGCCATAAACCAAGGTGTTTGGTGGTTCTTTTGAAGGTTCGCAATGCACTTCTGGATAAAGAAGATCAGCATACGACGTGGTGGTTAGAAGCCCTACACCATATTGAGAAAAACAAGGACTTGTCAGTTGAGTTTATTCGCAAAACAGGAGAAGCTGTTTCTGGGACACTAATCACTTCTGGGGCATCAAAGATTGCCTCTTGGTTAGTGGTTGGCCTTAGGCTTGTATCTTAGTATATCATTTTTTCTTGATTCAATCATACTTAGTACCTGTATTGGCAGATGTTTAGAAAAGCATGTAATTGTGTCATTATCTTTGACCAAGATGGTGATCTAAGTGTGTCCATTTGGTAGAGGTAAATTTGGTTGAAGAGGCTGAAATTCGCTTATATTATGGTTAAATGACTGAATTATCTAAATACGTGTTTAAAATGTATTTTAGTAAGTTAGGGGAAGTATTATCTAGAAAATGAGAGTAGAAGTGTCATTTACCTTTATTTCTGTCATTTGACCAAAAGGTAACATTCACATTGGTTTTTTAGTTCTGGTTGCTTCAAAAGCTAATACATTAAACAAATGTAGTCAAAAGGTGGTATACCAAACAAGTTTTAAGCTTCAAATCATGTATGGTGCATTGGGTTTTCGTTTATGGAGCACCACTGGTTGTCAACCTTTTGTAAATTTTTGCATCCTTGAAAAGAAACATGTTCTGAGACTTTTTATTTGCCGTATAACCATTTTTATGTGGTTTAGGCCGCCTAAAGCAGTGGCCATGGATAAAGTGTGTCAACTGTCAAGATAACTTAAGGGCTAACTTCCTAACGCTGAGAAGAAAATTACTTAAGGGCTAAACCAAAAATCTTTTGCTAAGTTCATGTTTTGTTTGTTGCAGCTTCCGCAGCATAACAGCTCTGAAGTATTTCATTCAGACTGGCCTAGACTCATTAGAAGACTCAAGGAGAACTTTACTTGATAGACTTTTGGATATTGATCAAACGATGGGCAATCCCAGGACGGAGGACATAGAGCGTGTGCGATATTGTCCTAAGTGCTATGCTAATTGTGAAGGCCCCTTGTGTATTCACTGTGAACTTGATGACTTATTCCAGGTGGTAATTCAATTTCCAAACTGATTTTCGCGCTACCTACACCCCACCCCACCCCCTGCACTCAAGTAACTAAGGCTATGTTTAGAACCTGGAAAATGGGAGTGAAAGGGGAAAATGTCAAGGAAAATAGGATTTTTAATGTTTGGTTTTGCGTCGGAATATTCAAAGAAAAACCAAGTTTGATTAGAACGTTCAAGATTTTACATATATTTAGATTTCTTAAGCTTTAAATATTTGAAATCTATTAATAAAATGAGTTTTAAATCAAGTTTGCAACATCCCCCACCATCGATTTTTTATGCTTGCAGAACACGTGTTAGCAGAGCATGTGTTAGCATTTCCTTTGTATGTGAAAATTTCATTTTATAGGCGTATGAAGCTAGACTATTTCGGCTTAATAAAGGGAAAGATGGAGATGCCATTACATCTGCTGTGGAGGCTGTTAACCTGCAGAAGAAGATGTATGCCCTAAATCGGTTTTATTCAACAATGTCACAATCTAATAAGAATGAGACTGTGCTGGTTCCTGAACCCAAAGGTGACAGAAAAAAAAGAGACAAAGGAGAGAGAGTACTAGTAAGTTGTTATCCTTGTTTGATTGTCAGCTATATTTATTGAGTTCGTTAATAATAGTAATTTTCCATGCTCTCGCATCTTTTGTTGGAAAGTTCTATAAACAGGACTGAAACTTGATAGGGATTCTTCAAATATCATTGTTTTTCCCTGGGAAAACTTTACTCATTCACTCCTAAAAGAAGAACCTTAAAGTACTTTTATTTGTTTTATAGTATTGAATGAGTTTTATTTTTAGCACAACACAAGGATACTCTTATTTGTGGCTTTGTGCTCATGAGCATTTTTTGCTATTGCTTGCATTTTTTCCCTGGATCCAAAGTCATCCCTTGCTATGGCAGTCAAGGTCAATTGAAAAGACTTTGGGTGGTGTATCCGTGTATGTAACACAAATTCATAGTTAGAAGTTAAGTGACTGATATCATGGACAAATATGTTGACCGAGAGCTTGTTTGGTAAGTTTTTTTGGCTGAAATAAGTGGACTGCTGATTTTTTATAAAAGGGAAACGTTTTTCCATTTTTAACATCCATTTCAACCTAATAAGTTAGTCAAAATGTACTTCTGCTCATCAAACGGAGCTAAAATTTCAAATTTGTACTGGACTATAGGCTAGCTCTCTATATGCTATTCTGTTACCAGCTGCTCTTTATGCATTTATGTAAATAGTCCCTTGTTTTGTCAGAAATAAGCTCACTTTATATGCAAGGATGATCAAGATGCACATTTTTTTATACTCCAGGGGGCGTCTGGGGAGGGGGGCTGGGGGGAGCTTGGAGTAATCAGGGCTGAAACTCACTCCATTGAGTTTCAAACCCTTGTGTGCCTAGCGGGATTTGAACTCGAGACCTCCCACTAGACACGGTAACCTCGCAACCAGCTAGGCTGGAGTGCGGGATTCGAACTCGAGACCTCCCACTAGACCAAGATGCACATTTTTTTTAACCAAGACGCACATTTAAGAAAAAGGATGACCAAGACGCACCTCATCAAGTATTCAAACATATAACCAATACAAGTTACAAAGAGCCCATTCCCACAAAATCATTAAAGTGGTGATCATTCGGGCCATTTCTCACTATAGAAGTGAACATGTTAAATATCTCGATACTTGGCACACTCAGTAGGAGCCGTGGTGTACCTTTGCTTGTGATAACAATAATTGTAGTATCGTATCTGAAAGTAGTGTCTCGTAAATGGTATATATATATATAGGAAAATTGGCTGCTCTGAACTGAACATAATTGACATGATGAAAGATTAAATAACATATTGGTTAGTTCATTTTCTTTTACCCAAGTGAGGCATTCATGTTGTCAAAAATTGGATGCAGTATTATTTGCCTGGGTTATTTGGGATTGGTTCCTAGAATAGTTTGGTGACTATGTTTCTTGTTTTGTTGGACAGCTCGAATTTAAAAACTGATAAAATTTACTAATTGCCTTGGATAGGTTTCAAAATCTCCGTCTGATCTGGAGGTGGTGCTGGGCATTATAAAGAGCAACTCCAGGGGACTGCTAGATAGAGATAGCATGTCAGCAGCTGCGAAGCAGCTTCTTCTCCTTGAGGTGCATCTGGATAAATACTCTATTATATCAAAGTTCAAATGTTCAATACAAACCTATGACATATTTTTGTGATTTCTGGTCTGGTGTGGGTAAGTTGGATAGAGGTCTTTGGAGGGGGGAGGGGTTTGGAGGGCTGTCTATATATTGATATATTTGAGATTTCATATGAATCCATTTAAACTTAACCTCTAAAGAGAGTTTTTTTTCTTTTCTGAAATCGCATGAAGGGTATGCGCAAGGAGTATCCACAAGCTAGGTCTCTTGCAATTGCTCAAGCTCAAGTTCTCCGTGCTCATGATGAAATTAAAATGGCAACTTCTAGACTCCGTTTACGCGAAGATGAGAATGATAGATCGATTGATGCACTGGGCCTAGGAGAATTAGTTGCAGCAAATGCTCAGTTTACAAGTGAAAAGTTTTTGGCTTTGTCTTCCTTATCTAGAGTAAAAGGACAGCTCCGCTATTTGAAGGTTACAAAATCAGTAGTGTGATATTATTTTTCTTTATGCTCATTTAAATCTTCGGAACTGATCACTACCATGGCCTTCATCCCGTATTGATACATGTCAGGACATTTCTATTTGTGCAACACCGTACTTCAAGATTAATTAGAAATTATTTTAACTTTTTAGATAGTTTTGATAAAGCTTTATTAGTAAAGTTATATAGTAGAACTACTATATGTTGCTATATAGTTTGGATATTGTTGCACTAGTGATAGTTATTCAATAGTAGGTAACCATAATCTTAGTATTTGTAACAATTGTGGGAACTGTGTAGTTTTTAGACCCTCCTGAATTTTTTTATTAGGAAGTTTTATATTAGTGTTGAAAGTGGCATCAAAGCTGTCATAGTGACCCTATACGACATCGGAAGTAGTCAGGAAAAATGGGAGGTAGCAAGTATCTAAAAATAATCAAGTTGTCAAAGAAGTTAAATGTATATCAGGGCTACTACTGAGGAGTAGAACTATTATTGAAATTGTAGAAACAAGATGGATATAGCCGAGACCAATTCGAGAGGGCCTCTCTATCTCTCCCAGATCCTTGTTTTTACCAAATCCCAGTCTGCCCCTCTCCTTTTTCTATTCCTTCTACTTATTCTTTTCCAATGAGGCTTCTCCTCAATCTAGCTAATTACTTGGCCCAGCCCACTTCCTTTTTACACCTTATTAATATATTCATTATTATTTCTATTACTTCTCTCGCCATAAGTTCAGGTCCGTATCAGACTCAATCCTAAATAGCCTTTTCCGATGAGAAAAAAGAAAATAAAATAGAAGCTAAATGCTTAGGGACACATGGCTTTCAAAGTTAGCAATTAATTCTCCTTAGGAATATCACCTTCTTCTGTGTCATTACGCATTCTGTTTGTGATATCTAATAGGGTCTGGTGCAATCTAAACAAATTCAACTGGTTGAAAGTACTAATAACAGAACATCAATCCAAGCAACACTGACATCCAGAACATCTGAAGAAAAACAAAATGGGAGCTTCATGAAAAATGAGGAATCATGTCCAGTTTGTCAGGAGAAACTTGATAGCCAAAAGATGGTTTTCCAATGTGGCCATGTCATTTGCTGTAAATGTAAGGCTCTCATTACATTGCATAAATGTGTACTCATATGCCTTATCAACTATCAATCAACTGATTGTTAATGTTTTCTTCTCCTTTTTCTTGGGAAGGGAGAGAGTGACATTGGAAAGTTGTTTAAATAAATATAAACCAAATCAGAAGACCTACAGCTACATATGCTTGGCAGTCATTTCATACACTAATTTAGTAATATGTTAATCATAAAATGCAAGACTACAACAAGAAGTTGCAGGTAAGATGAATTTGAGTACTCTTTACGTGTGTATCTCTATCTTTATCAAACTATTCATGTAATGTATTCAATTAATTAAACTCCCTTCGTCCCAAAAAGCGCAAACGTCGTTTCAAAAGTTTTTGTAACAAAAAGTGTCCTATCTGATCATATAATATATTTTTTCATGTGATTTGTTAATAAAGAGTTACAAACAAGCTAGATGTGATATACCTAGTTAAACCAACAAAAACAATTCAAGAAATATGTACAATTTCACAATAGGCAACATTCTGCGCAGTTTTCAAAGTAAAATCTAAGCGGGATATGTCTTCCATTTTTGCAGGTTTGTTTGCATTGACTGAAAAGAGATTAGGGCACTCGGGGAAACCCTCTACTAGCTGGATCATGTGCCCAACATGTAGGCGACCTACGGATTATAGAAATATTGCTTATGCCGTTGATAATAAATCAGATGAAACCCCCTTTGGTACCTGTGGAAATTCTGAAGCTTCTATTGCTGTTCATGGATCATATAGTACAAAGGTACATATAATCAATTTTAACATTCCACATGGGCGCTTACAAACTTCACCATATCCACATTTGGATCTTTGCAATTTCCACTGTTTTCCATTTTTATCCTTCTCATTATTTTTTCCATTCAAGAATGAGTCATCACTATTCTTGAATCTAGCAATCTGCTGACTGATGTTAAATAATACAAGTACACACCAGTCATGCAATCAAATAAAGAAAGAAATGAATTGATTGATGTACGCAGCCTTACCCCTGTACTAAAGCACAGAGAGACGGTTTCCGGATGACCCATGGTAAAAATCGCCTTGAAAATTGCATGAACTGACTTCTTCTTCATAAGAGAAGAAGCGCAGACAGTTTAGTGAGCCATTTTTCTTTATTCCATCATATTCCCCAAGACAAAAATAGTGAATCTTGGGTTCCATTGCAAATGATGGAAAGAAAATCGTGGCTGGGGAGAATAGAACTAGCAACCTAATGTGCACAACATAAGCTCCACACCGCTAGGTTAACTCATTCACTATTCACCATATGTGAGTAGCATAAATATATTATGGTGAACTCAATCATGTACTTGAATGCATTTGGATGGTTTGAGAAACTATTCTTTAATGCCAGTTTTGAGAGACCCACTGTTCTGATAGTTGCTTTTGTAGGTCGAAGCCGTTGTGAGAAGAATTTTATGGATAAACTCAAAAAATCCTGCTGCAAAGGTTCTTGTTTTTAGTAGTTGGAATGATGTTCTTGATGTCCTGGAACATGCCTTTGCTGCAAATGGTATTAGCCACGTAAGAATGAAAGGTGGCAGGTAAGCAATCCTATGCTATTATAACTGGCAGATAGTCTATCCCCTCCTTGAAATCCAATATTGAGATTCCCTTAGGCTGGAAATAAGGATACATTAATATGAGATTACCTTAAAGGGTGTGTGGTTCATAGAAAATACATCTCCATGAAATCCAATATTGAGATTGCCTTGGTCTGCGTATCTTGTTAAATTGTTCTGTGCAAACTTGGAAATAGTGTAAAATATTACAAATGATAATGATCATACAATATCTTAAAAAATGGAGGTAACCTCATTCCCCGTTTTCACTCGATGGTGATGTTATATTGCTGGAGTAATCAGTAATGCAATGATCTGAAACCAAACAAGGTTATTACTAACATTTCATGATATCAACGTCATGTTACCTCGAACTAAACACCCCCCTAAGTTGTCTGTTTTTCCAAAAAATTTAAAAACAAATTTGAAATGTTCTATAATATTATTTTTTTAGAATATTAGAATACTTAAAAGGCTAAAAAAATGCTGATGTAATCTGGTTACCCCAGCAAAACAGGTCACATTACGTTACAGTGGCAGACCCCAGAAACTTATTTTGGGGAGGCCGTAGTTAAAACAAAATAATTGTAGAAGTTCATAATTACAATTTTATATATACTTCTTGTACTATATAAAATGAATCATTAAAGTAAGAGTGTTTTTTTGAAAAATATTACTGAAGAAAAGTTTATTTAGAAAAATGTGACTAATATTTATTATAGTAGTGTAAAAGTTAAACATAAATTACTTAAATGTCACTAATATTAAACATAATCTCAAAAATGTCACTTATGTGTAAAAGATAAACATAAATTACTCTGACTATGGTTACAACTGTAGTCACTACTCCTCAATCACAGTTTTTGAGTCAAGAGCTTTTGGGAATTGCCACATTTTTTATTTCATATGGAGTATAGAGCTTTCGGGAGTATATAGTATTAGAGTATATGTCATTTTGACTTTCTATTTTTAGGAATTGGACTTGCACTCAAATTTTTAGATTTTTGTTTAAAAGAATACAAAATAGTTCGTAGTAAATAGATTCATATCGAGTACATGTCACTTTTTAACTGCCAATTTCTTTTTTTTTTTTTTTTCACCCTTCGTAAATATTCAATCAAAATATGGGAAGGTCAATTTTTTTTGGGGGGGGGACCAATTTTAGTTTTGTTATATATGTATATGTGTGGGGGGGGGGGGGGGGCGTAGCCCCCGTGGGCCTCTACTAAGGTCCACCAGTGTTACGTTATCTATGCAAGTCTTATAACTCAAACTAAACACCATCAGGCTAATGTCCTTATTTTTTACCGTGCAGGAGAGCGCATGCAGCTGTGAACTATTTTAGAGGGCAAAGCAGCAATTTGATAGGACATAGTAGGAGTCATGAAATGCCACCAGAAACCAAATCAGTCCAGGTCTTACTGCTCTTGATTCAGCATGGAGCCAATGGCCTCAATCTTTTGGAAGCCGAACATGTGATCCTGGTTGAACCATTGCTTAACCCAGCTGCGGAAGCTCAAGCGATTAGCAGGGTGCATCGCATTGGCCAGACCAAAAAGACCCTCGTCCACCGTTTTGTAGTACGTATTATCTCGTAAATATGTGTCTGGGTGTGCACCCATCTATGTGTGTGTATTGGTTCAGTAAAAAAATTCTATCCAAAACGAGAATAAATTTGGTGCATTTAAGATGAGTTCTGGTGGCTCTGGATATGATCCAAATTTTATGCCATTTCATAAAATTTGGATCATGATTTTGATTAGTATAATATTAAGAAAGTTATAAATTTTATACTCTTATGAAAGTACTTTTAACAAAGAACATTTTTATATCATTTTTATATTATAAATAATTTTTAAGAAAAAAATATAGTTGGTCAAAGTTTCATTTTTAGAATCATTAAATTTTTCTTGTTCCTCTAAAAAAGTTACTTCTATAAAAAAGTTACTAGTTTGTGTAATAGTTTACTTGGTCCCCTTATAATCCTTGCTCTCCTTGTCGATTTCCACCAAAAGGACTAATTGTAGTTCACAGTTCTAGCCTGGATTTCTATATTATTTTTGGATGAAGCATATCATTGTCTGCACTCTGCAGAGTGAGCCAGATACATGCAAATTGAGGGGGAATTATGAGTTTACATTTAACTAATTTAGCCCCACGTCAAAATCCACTATTAGTGTCACTGATGAGTAGGAATAAAGGCGAGTTTATAAATTATAACTCACATCGGTTTTCTTAAGGATGGCATGAAATGTTCAGTAACTTGAAAATAGATATACTTAGGGACGGAAGATACAACAGCTAATACAAGAAAAACTAACTGCCAGTGTTTGTGACTTCTGCTAGGTGAAAGACACAGTTGAAGAAAGTATATACAAACTGAATAAGAGCAGAAGGGGAGAATCATTTGTTAGTGGAAACAGAAAGAATCAAGACCATCCTGTGTTGACCCTCAAAGACGTCGAGTCCTTGTTAAGAGTTGCCCCCCCATCCACGGATCATAACCCGTCTGCTGGGAGCCTGATGCATTTGCCACCATCTGAAGCTGCTGCCATTGCTGCTGAGAAGAGGCTAGCCAGTCAATCGTTGGTATAAGCCACCCACATTTTTCTGGGGCGGGGTGGCCGAATCAAATTTTAGTCAGCCCCAACATTATGAAATAAGTATATGATCCATGTAACATAGTGCTTTGTTTGATACTATTAATAGGTTCAGCGTTTTTTTTTTTTTTTGTAAATTACAGTCAGCATTTTCATTAGAAATGAGGCGATAGGTGGAATATTTTTGTTTTATCTCTAGTAGTTTGACTTTCACAGTTTGATGTTCTCAATATAAGTCTTTGACCAACATTATACGGAGTGTTAAATTAGTTTAAGTAGAATAGTGATCCTTACTCGGATTACAAGAGTAGACCAAGGATAAATTGATAAAGATAATTTTCCTCCTATAATATTTAGATCATTGCTCCTCATCATCATCATTACCCCAATGCCGCAAAGGCTCTCACCTATGGTGAGATAAGGGGGGATCGGATGTACACAATATTACTTCTGTACTAAAGCACAAAGAGACTGTTTCCAGATGACTCATAGTGAAAATCGCGTTGAAAATTGCATAGATTGACTGTTCCGGCCCCTTTGGATTACATTACCTGGTCTCGAGTTTGATATTTTGGGGCCAGGACCGAATGACCGATCGGTCTTGAGCACGCGCACGCTCCGGATTCAATAGTCAATGTTTTGGCTATTTCTTCCATATATCTGGGGGGGGGGGGGGGTGCTCACCATTAGAGGAGCCTCCAGCGGCACCAAACTACAAGTAGTGATGGACCCGGTCCGGGCCGGACTTTTTTTGGGAAGGAAGAACCGGAAACGGCCCGGGTAGACAGCGGTTCCTGGCTGGGCCGGTTCATGTTATTTTTTTTCATTTGCTTTTCTAATTAACTCCCGACCCCCCCCCCCCTCACCCCCACCCCCAAACCCCCCCAAAACACCTAGCCCAACCCGGGAGATACAAAAGAAATTGAAAAAACAAAAAAAAGGCCGGACCGGTTCCACTTTTATGAGGCCCGAGCCCGCACCGTATAATTCCCGGTTCGGGTGGCCCGGACCGGTCCTATGACCGGGCCAGTCCGGGCCCAAACAGTACTGATTCCGGGCCGGGCGGCCCGACCCGAGTCATGACTAACTACAAGTTCAGGCGTTTGGGGTGTAGAGATATTAAAATATTTAGTTGATTAGTATGAGATTTGTTATTGTTGTAGTATGAGATTTGTTCTCATCATAATCTGATTTTCTAGTATGGACTATGGAGTGAATGTTTTTACTTGGACTGTTTTTAGTCCCAGATCATGCCAGACTTGGATAGTTATGAAATATACAAACACCATACATTTATCAGAGTAGTTTAGACCAGATCAGACCACAAAATTTTGATCCAACTAATAACATTCTAGGAGATTTGTATTAATCAGGAGATCTTAAACATAATTACTTTTTCCTTTATTAATTAAGTTGATTATAGTCTTTTTTAAACAAGTTAATTATAGTCTATAAATTGTAATTAGTTGTTGTATTTACTCTTCAACAAAAACACCATCCAAACCTTCTTCCCAAAAGATTTGTTGTATTTACTCTTAAGAAATAAAATTTTATTCTTCAAGTTGTTGACAGAGCTACCTGATATTTGGGGTTCTTCATGTCACACACTAAAAGGTGTATTTTTATCACAAAATAACTGCAAGAATGTTGCTCCTCTAGGTCTTGTTTATATACAACTACTTGGGAAAGGTTTTAATGAGAACCCCTATTAAAATGATAACTCATTTATAAATGAGAACTTTTAATTTTCATCTTTGATATATGAAATCAATAACTTCAGCCCGGACTTTACTAATTTTAGAAGAATAAATCGATTCAACTGATTTCAGTATTATTAAACGGGCTCTATGTTTAGGTTGTTTCTATGCATAGGTGAGTGTTATTTTATTATTGGGAAAACTGTCAAATTCGCCCTCGAAGTATGCCAAAAAAGTCAATTAAGCTCTCGAAGTAAAGAAACCCTTGAAGTTTATAAAAACGTTCAATTCTCTAATTTTAAGCTGTATAAGTGTATAACGTTTATATAACAATATACCCCTTCAAGGGTTTAATTGAGTGTCACAAATCTATAACAAAGCTATAAAAATACGGGTTTAATTCTCAAATGAAGGAACTCATCTTATTTAAGATAAAAATATGGGGGTAATATGATAATGGTCATCTCTTTGTATATATTCTAGTATTATACCGTGTGATGCACGGGATAGGATATAATATTTTTTGTATTTCTATATATTATTTTAAAATTAAATTGGAATGTCAATAAGATATGTTTATTTTAAAGGAAATTGAAACGTGTACGTTATAGTAAAAAAATGTTTGTGTTGTTATATTAAGTTCAAACGTAAAACGAGTTATTGATCACATGATAATTGAAGGTGTGATATGCTAGAAAATTAACATATGCCTCAAATTTCATTCAAAACAATTAAATACTTGTACAAAGAATGATAAGGTACCCTTTTGTCCAATCGTTAAGGAGTATATATGTCATTTGATAAACACAGAATTACGAATTAGAATATAATTAAAAAATTGATGTCCTAATTAAGCAAATAAAATTGTTTGACCAAGAAAAGTCAAATTTGCAAATCAATTTGGGACGAACGTTCACACACATGACATGTATTGTTTGTTTTTTTTAGGAAAAAAATCGTATTGAGATGCACTTTTCAAGGATCTTTGATTATATAAATTAACTAATTCAAGACTTTCTTTTCTTGTTTCCAAAGTAGAGTGACTAACAAAAAACTCAACCCTCAAACTCCAGAAATTTGCTATTTTTTGAAAAAATAGTTGTGTGCTACTGACTCTAAAATGTTTCGTATTTTGTAAATGATCATGTACTTTATGGAGCCTTGTCTATTAGTATTTATTTCTATATTGTGAGATATCTTTTTTAGATTTATTTCTTGTATGTTTTTATTTGATGGATCAAATATATATGTAGAATTGCACAAATAAAGTTAACTCTGCTGCTAAAACCTCAATAAAGTAATGTACGTAGTATAATGGTAATATCTCAACTCTAAGTCGTTTAAGAAGGTAATAGTAATGGTGTTAATTGAATGAATCAAAATAGTATTTGAACTCGTTAATTCTTTAATAGAGTTCTGTTTGATGGATGCAAAATAATATAGTCCTTTCCTATAAATAAGGTAAAGGAAATAGCTTACAATGATATTGCAAATCAATTTCATCCCAAAGTTTGTTTGAATTTTCATACAAGAATCCAGACTTTAGTATATTTTCAAGAACTTATTCTCAACTACGTACCTCCACATACTTTCAATAAAGTAGTCAATGTTTAGTACTCGTAGTTTACAAATAAATAAAGCCAAATGTGGCTAGCCATCGATAATGCCCGATAAATTAGTCATGATTTTTTTGCAGATCGTGGATCGTGTTTTGCAAGGCGGGAACAGTTTTGCATCTCACGATTCTATTTTTATATATATAAAGTTATGTGTATCACAATTCACAAATCTATAACAATATACCAATGCATTCAACGCTAGGACATAAAATTGAAAAACTAGAAACAATTACGAACCTAAATGCGTAACAAATACGAAATTAATTATTAATTCAAGAAGAGGGTCATGGGATAAAAAGAAGAGTGCACATTTGAAAAGAAATGACTGCTCGTAATTAAAAAAAGTGTCAGTTGAGACTTCAAGGAATTGAGAGAGATCTTCCAAAAAAAGGAATTGAGAGAGTTCTTCAAAATGGAGAAAAGAGAAAATAATGAGAATGAGAGCGCATTGAAATGACAAAGGAGAAAAGACGAGTAGGAGGTGCATTAGAGAGAGAGAGTAAATGCAAGGAAAGAAAAAAGGGATAAAAAGAAAAAGTAAATTTTTAGATACAAAGAGCAATCGAGGCAATATGAATGTAGGCAGAAGGAAATTAATGGGCGACTTGGGGAGCGGCGACAAGTAAAACCGTAGCTGCCGCTCCTCTCTTTTCTTCCTCTCAATTAGTTTTCTCCTCTTAAAGACAAAAAATTATCTATTTCATAAGTATTTTCAAGATATTTTATGTGATTTCTTCCTACCAATGTATAGGGATTGTGTATTCCTCGTCGGTGAAACCGATCGGGGTTGAAATTTCATTGTTGGTGGATGTCAATGCTTATTCTACGCTCTGTTCTAAAAATCGTTCTAGGCATCCGACTAGTCCCCGCCTAGGCGCTAGGCGGTGGTCGGGCGCCCCGATTTTTATCTAGACGCTCCGATTAATTGGTTTGCCGTCTAGGTGAATTAGTCGGCCGCCTATGGCGCCTAATTGCCCGCCCAGAGCGCCTAATCGGCCGTCTAGATTCGCCGAACATTACTTTACTTTTCATTTTTAATTTTCTAAGCAATATAAGTGCTTTAACTTTAGCCAAAGATATAAAGAAATGAAGTTGTAAATTGAGATAAAGACTATATATGTTTGTATATACACCTAAATTTTATTATTATTTATATAATTATATTTATAACATAATGAAGCTAAGTGTTTAGTTATCATATACGAAGTACTACGTATGATTAAATGTGATAATTCTATCATGTTTGTTAATGTATGTGTATATATGTATTTTATTCGATCACACAAGAATACAATATTACTTATCATATTTATGCAAAATATAGATAAAAATGCAATTTATATGTTTCGACTAGTCCCCGACTAGGCGCCCGCCTAGCCGCCTAGGCGCTAGGCGCTGGGCTGGCGCCTGACTAGCGCCTAGCGCCTTTTAGAACATTGATTCTACGTGATTTGTTTGAGAGGTTAACTTCAAACATTGACGACTCCAAGACCTCAAATATTCTCCCTCCTCCTGAACCACCGTCGTGCTATGAGAGAAAGAGAACGTTCAAACTGATGATATATGCAAGTTCTTCCCAGTAGCTCATCAAACTGAGGATTCTAGTTGTTTCTTTCTGGTGGCTGAACAAACCAGATTTTCTATTATTTTCTTGTCGGTGGATTGTGAAACCGATTTATATGTTTGTTTTCTGTCGCAGATCAGTACTTTTTCTAGTATTGGTTAAGTCCCAAGAGCTTCTATATTGATATAGAAGTCTACATCTTTGCGGGATTAACGAATTGTTATGTTCTTTTAGAACTTTTCAATTCTATGTCTCATCACTCATCACATTCTAACCTTAGTTTATGAAGATTACTTTTGTACTGATTTTTTTTTAAGGTACTGATTATTTTTATTATTAACACATACTTCCTCCGTTCTTTAATTCTTGCAA